GTCTGATCCCCTATCATGTTTATGTATATATATTTCTTATTTTCGTCATTTTTAATAAATGACATATTTCATCTCAACATTGGTGTTGATTTCGTTGATTATAACTCAGCAAAAACAGAGCTGCGGTGAGTTTGTGCAGCATGAGGAAACATAAATATATTTTATGTAGGTTATAAAAATATATTGTGGATTCATTATCTGGATAGAAGGAGGAGTTTAGAGCAAACATATATGTGCGGGTATTACTGTTTTATGACAGCATCTAGTTTGGCTTGTCAAAACAATTCTGAGTCTTCGTATCTGTTAGAGTAGATGTAGAGGACCCCTTCTGGAAAAAAAAAATCCTGGATCCGCGCCTGCAGCATCTTTTTCCAAGTTTAAATGGCTAACCTTTTTTCTAACTAGTGTCTTTTGATTTTGCCAGGAAGTCAACCAGACGTTTGTTTTGACAGATATTACAACAAAGGAATATAAACGCAAAAATCCTTAAGGAATGCCTTTGTGGAACACAGAATTCTATGTTTATTTAACAGTTGTTTGTAAATATGAGCATGGAATAGTAGATAATCATGGATATATTGTTTTCATATTTGAAATGCATGAAAGATTGATTGTAATTTTCCGAGAGCAAGTAAAAAATTTGATCTTTTCCAAGCGTAAAATATCTGTAGTATTCATAGTAACCCATATTGCAATTCAACTTATTGAGCTGATTTGTCGGTCTTACGTCATGCTGGTACCTCATTTATATGTAAATGTACGAGTAGCATTCTCTATCCAGAGTTGTCTTCCGAGCTCCCAACACCTCTATCAACAAGATCAGTAAGAAAAGATTCTTGGACGGTTTTAAACGGCGAATATTTAAAATTAAAATCATGATAAATAAAGTAATTATCAATAAAGATGATATTTTATCATTGATTTTTAAAAACTATCATCCCTTAAGCGATTTATTTTTTCAGTTATTAAGGAACTATTTTGCAGATAAAAAAAAATTTAAAAATGCTTTAAAGGGATGAGAGATTAATATTAATTCTTTTTACTGATAATTGATTTAATTAAAAACTATCCTTTAAATACGATTTTTAACCATTCAGTTTTTTATACCCTTTAAACCGTTGGGCCGACCATGAATTATTTTGTTTGATATTCCACGTTACTCAACCAAACCCGGGACCTTTGTTATGCAAGTGGGAGGTTGCACACTAAGTAGAACAACTCGTACCATCCTCTGTATACGCCAATGATAATATATTCGAGGAATATAGTTAAACATTGTTCTTTTTAGCCGGGCTTTGCTGAAAGCAAAGTCCTGGCTGTAAGGACGCTAATCGACTGCCTTACTATGAATAGAACAACAGAAAAATAAACAAAAAGCCGAACAGCGTCAAAGCAGTTGCTTCCGATGAACAAATTAAATAGTCACAGTGAGAGACGATATTTAAACAAATACTTTTAACATCTAAATCTTTGGAAATGTTCATTAATCAATATTTTTGTTTGAAAATTAAATTAAAAGAGGAATTAGATATTTACCTTATTAGGGTAATCGTGATATAACAATTTGTGCACATACGCTACTAAATGCATATGTAAATGAACTATTTTCAATAGCGCGGGCTTTTCAACAGGTTGCTATATTGGATTGTTGAAGAATTTCATATCGTTTTCGTCGGTGCTATGCGAGTTGTTGTATTTTCTGTTTTGTTTTTTATCAAATAAGTAGATTAGTAAATTGGATTTTGAAGAATTAATATGCGCTATGCCTGAAGTCGCCTGACAATGTATCAGGTGTATTTAGTTGGCGATAAAAATACTGGGATTTTTTTTTTTTATTTTTTGAAACTAACAGAATATCTCTAAAAATGTGTGCATTACTTTTACTACTGTAAGATTGATTTGCTGGCATAATTTTAGTTAAGTGAAAAAATGCTTTTTGAATAGAAAATATGCAAAAAATCCTTGGAAATAAAATTTATTAAATTTTGACATCATAATTTTTTAAACATACTAGTATATCTGCACATGTATGTTAAATGATTACTTGTTTTTTTGTTTTTTTTTTTTTTTTGAAATTTTACTCTTGACATTGACCATGCACGAAAGTTCAGTTAAAAACATTTGAATTAAAAAGAAATTCAGATAAATCTTATTTTCAAAATCTACCATTTTATTAATTTTGGACATGCAAATTTTATCTTATGACTGGGTTGTCTTTTTAAAAAGCTGACATTTAAAAAAAAAGAGCAGAGAAAATTAATTTACTTGTATTTTACCATTTCGTTATATATTAAGAGCAGTCTTGGACTGTTTTATCTTCAGATTTTTATGGAGAGGCCTGAACGTTGAATTTCCTTGGATTTGTTAGAATTATAATGAGATATATAATATTATGTAAATAATACCAAGATTTGTTACAATTATATTGATGTATGCATGTAAATATTCTTACAGTTGTAATACCGGTAATGCTGAAATAATTTTAATATATTACTCAAATAAAAAAGTTAAAATTTGAATGCATTTAAAGAAAAGGGTTTGAAAATACATGTACGTATTACTTCGATAGCCCTGCATGCAATAAACATTACTTATTATGTCTAATAAATAATTTCAAACAAAAATCCTTCTGGTGGTTAAATTCTTGTGTAAGGGTGATTTAAATGAAGTTAAAAACTAATTGTTTTCTGTGATAATATGAAATAAACAATGTAATTCCATTTGGTTGATTTCTTTATTAAAAAAATATAATTTAGATGACTGTGCTAAAGATTTATATTATGTGAAGCATGGAGAAGAAATAAATAAAAATGTAAAGATAGAAATTTCATGTGAATATGTACATGTATAATTATATTAATTATTTATACTCATTGGCCAACCAATTTAGCATCGAAAATTTTTATTCTTACAAATTCAAATCAAATTTTTAATGAAAGGTCAATGGTATGTTTTGTGAAAATTTGTTCGAGACTTCTCAACTTTGATTTTTCTTGCAAGTGCTCTCAGAGCGCTTTACAATATATTGTGCATGCACGCGCATTCCTATAAAGAGTATCTAAAACACATGCTTTCAAGGGTGCTGGGAAATAAAAATCGATCATGTAATTATATATTTAAAAAAAAACTAAAAAAAAAATGTTCACTAGTCTTTATCTAAGTACAACACATTATTATTTTTCAGAAACGGTTAGTCTTTGCTACAAAGCTTTCTGTTCAGGATAAAGAACCCACTATGTACAAGCCATAAAGGCCTGAATGTATCAAGATTGTCTCAGGCAATGACCGTTTTGGCCAAACCTGGAACTAGAACTAGACTCATATTCATGTTATAAAAATTAGATATTTAGATAATTATCAATTTCGTGCAGCTGGTTTCCTAGAGGACCAGAAATGATTTTTTTTCGGCATGTCGTTTTTAAAAGGGGGAGAGAAAAAAAAAAGGAAAATAGTCCAAACTCGAGAATCCTATTCTGTGGGAGAAGGGGTGGGGGTAGGCTCCAACTTACATTCACATCTGGAATTTTATTAATACATTACGAAATAATTGTAATTTAATGTGCTACAACAAAAATGAAGGGTACAATCTAATTAAAATTGGACCATTCATTTCGCTTTTAGAAAATCTGTTAGTCGCTCGTGACAAATACCCAGTAAATTTACAAAGAGTGAGATTAAAGGTCTAATTCAAATTTGATTGCAAAGAATCAATCAACCTTTCAATGTACATTTTCCACATAAAAGATTATGTTTGAAAAAAATGGTGACACCCTAGCTCCCCCAATACTATGTGCCTGTATTAATCAGCAAAACCACTCAATGTGCATTGTCACCATGCATACCCATTGTGAGCTTAATGATCAGAAAGGTATTTATAAATGTATTTTCATTTAAATATGACCAACTAAGTCCTATCCTGGGGTCTAAACGTTGGGTTCTGGACTGTAAATTTTAATTGTTGGTAGATGGGTTATTGTTAATCATAATCATACAAACTCTACTAGTTAAATATCAATGACCAGAAAGAAAGATTGTCAAATATGTACTCATTTCTATGGAAAGCCAAAGGGGACCCACATGTCATGTTCTATATATTTCATTGTAAATCAATCCTGGCCGGTCAGGATGGTAATCATGACCATGTCAAGATTTCAAACATGACCAAGCCATGATTTTCATCATCTTAACCAAGTCAGGATTGATAACATGACCAACCTATCTTGGCCAAGTCAAGATTTATAACATGGCCATGCTATCTTGGCCAAGTCAGGATTGATAACATGGCCATCCTATCTTGGCCGGTCATCATATAACTTGGCCATCCTATCTTGGCCAAGTAAAGATTTATATGGAAAGCCATAGGGGACCCCCATGTCATGTTCTATATATTTCATTGTAAATCAATCCTGGCCGGTCAGGATATTAATCATGACCATGTCAAGATTTCAAACATGACCAAGCCATGATTTTTATCATCTTGACCAAGTCAGGATTGATAACATGGCCATTCTATCTTGGCCAAGTCAAGATTTATAACATGGCCATCCTATCTTGGCCGCGGTCATCATACAACATGGCCATCCTATCTTGGCCAAGTCAAGATTTATAACATGGCCATGCTATCTTGGCCAAGTCAGGATTGATAACATGGCCATCCTATCTTGGCCGGTCATCATATAACATGGCCATGCTATCTTGGCCAAGTCAGGATTGATAACATGGCCATCCTATCTTGGCCGGTCATCATATAACATGGCCATCCTATCTTGGCCAAGTCAAGATTTATAACATGGCCATGCTATCTTGACCAAGTCAGGATTGATAACATGACCATCCCATCCTGGCCAAGTCAAGATAACATGACCACCCTATCTTGACCAGGTCATGATTTAATCTTGACCAAGTCAGGATTGATAACATGGTCATCCTATCTTGGCCGGGTCATGATTCAATGTTGACCAAGTCAGAATTGACAACATATGCCCATCCTATCTTGGTCGGCCAGGATTGCATTGCGCCAGGATATATTACTTCCAAACGCAGCCAAGATTTCTTCAAGCGTCAATCCTGGCCAAGTCAGGATGTATTTCTTCAAACGCAGCCAAGATTTCTTCAAGCGTCAATCCTGGCCTTGCGCCAGGATGTATGACTTCCAAACGCAGTCATGATTTATTCAAGCGTCAATCCTGGACAAGTCATGATGTATTTCTTCAAACGCAGTCAAGATTTGAAGTCATGATTGCATTGCGCCAGGATGTATGACTTCCAAACACAGTCATGATTCGCTTTTGTATGATAATATGTAAGCGCTTCCCTAACACTGAAAAACCGCTAAAATGTGTATTGGGTTTCCAGCCTTCCCGTTCATCTCAGCTGGCAAGTAAGGTAAGTTCAGTGGTTTTTCATTATAAATCTTTATGAATAGCTTAGTTTGCTGTTCTAAATATTTATTTTACGCAATGGTTATTTGGAATAAATCGTATGAACAGCATATTCCAACAATCTAAGACATTCAGCAGATTTCATCGAGGAAATTCGAATTTGTCTATCGACACGTTTGTTACACAATTGAAATAAACGGCTCTTTAATTTTTTTATGCAGTTACGAACATAAAGAAATATGGTATTTTAGTTGCATTTAGAATCAAGTTGTTTTACAATACATTCCAAAGAAATTTGCTTACTCTCATTCAAATATATAGAACTTTGGGGCTAAATTGGAAGGGGGCTTCATCCTGTTATATACGGATAAATTACAACACTTACTGCATTATATTTTGCAATTTAAAATTTAAACATATCATTTAATATATACATTTTTTTTTCTTTTTAGTACCAAGTAACAGCTAGTGATTTGTGTGTACTGAACCATCAACATATTAAACTGTCCAAGACTGGTGATAGATATGTAGGTAGGTTTTCCTTTACTTCATGTAATTTTGGGCAAATACATTAATCTTGAATTTTATAATTATGTCTTTTTATGAAAAGATGCTTTTAATACATGTATTCCTATTAATTAAAAAAATAATTATAGTAGCAAACAATGTTTTTGCAACTTCTTGTATTGAAAAAAATATAGTTTCTTGAAAATTTAAATATACATGTACATGTATCCTTTTATATTATTTGCAGATACACATATATATGACTTATGCATGTATATTACAAATGTATTAATTATTAATAGTATTTTAGATTGACGCATGCTGACTGGGGGTTATGAGTATGGATAACCATTTTGCAGAATTAGGAATGTGCAGCTGAAAGTGGTACACTTCATTTACAAGCATTTCAAATTTATAATTGTCTATATCCACTTTCTATTTGTTTTAACAAAAAGGAAACCAGCAATCATACATAATGGAATTACTTATACAGATATATATGTTTTCCAATGTCAAGGTCAAAGACCAAAGGCCAAGACTGATGTCAGCTTGAAAGAAACTACTCTGTGTATTGGATTTGCAAGATAAAAGATGATGAATTAAAGCACCAGTTTCAAGTCCAAAGGTCAGTACAGTAAAACACAGTTAATGTGAACATGCTTACAATGAATTGATGCTTACAGCGAATTGATTTTCATTGTCCTTGGCTTTAAATCACATTGTGGAACTTAGCAGATATAACAAATAATGTTTGTAATGAAGTTAACAACTTGCATTGAATTTCATAATTTTTTAATTTACATATAAAGTTACAAGATGATAATCACAGAAGTTTTTATTTATATTGCTTATCATGTATTGTTTCTTCTTATTCGAAGATCAAAAAGCACCATTTAGGTCAAGGTCAACTCCAAATATTGGTTAAAACCTAATTTGTACCAACAACTGAATCCAGAAGAGGGCAGTCTTGATAGGACACCCATAAAAGAGCTAAACAGGTATAGTTTACCAATTTCAAGTTCAAAAGTTTGTACATTTATCATGCCCCTCTTTGAAGAAGGGAGGGCATATTGCTTTGCTGCTGTCTTCTGGTCGGTCAGTCAATCTGTCTGTCTGTCGGTCCACCAACAGTTTCCATTCATTTTCTTCGCAGAGGTTGCACATACTGAAATGAAATTTGGTATACAGATTTATCATATGAATATCTAGGTCAGGTTCTGTTTTGGGTACGATCGAGCAATTGTTGACAGAGTTATGCCCCTCGAACTTAGAAAAGTTCCAAGTATGTGCAGTTTCTATTCATTTTCTTCGCAGAGGTTGGACATACTGAAATGAAATTTGCCATATAGATTTATCATAAGAATATCTAGGTCAATCTCTGTTTTGGGTATGATCGAGCAATTTTTGACAGAGTTATACCCCTTGGACTTAGCTTTCTGTTCATTATCTCTGCAAAGGTTGTACAAATAAATTACTGATATATCATGAGAAACATGTTTTTGCCAAAGGTGTGATGTAGAAGATTGGTTGATGCATCTCAGATAGTACCGGTAGATGACCCCTATTGATTTTAAGTTCAAAAGGTCAATTTCATTTCAATGTACACTGCCCATAACGTATACTGCCCATAATAAAGGCTTTTGCACCCCGTAGCATAATGTATGTCCGAGGGGGGGGGGGCATAAGTGTTTCACAAACATCTCTTTTAGATTTAGGTATAAGGGGCCTGTTTTACAAAACAACTAAAGACTAAGACCAGAGACATACAAGCAAAACACAGCGATTCACAACTCAGCCATTATTAACTCACCTGAGCCAATGGCTCAAGTGAACTTTTCGGATCAAAATTTTTCCATGGTCTGTCGTTGTCATCAATAACTTTTATACAAATTCATCCCATTCCCAACAATCACTGGACCAATTTAAATTAAATTTGGTACAGAGTGTGACTGGGTGAAGTAAATTAAAGTTTGATCAAACAAGAGGCCCATGGGCCACATCACTCACCTGAGCACATAAGCTAGGGAAAAAAAGCAAAAATCAGTAATTTATAAGGGGGGGGGGGGCTTGATGATGCTTCTGTATCAATATAACATATAGCTTTGCTGTTCTTGAGCACAAGATTTCTTCCTACATATTCATTTGTACAAATTTGATCTCCCATTGTGGCCCCACCCTAACCCCGGGAGCCTTCATTTGAACAAATTTGATTCTACACTACCTGAGGATGCCTCCATATCAATATGACTAATCATGGCTTTTCTGTTCTTGAGAAAAAGATTTTTTTCCTATATATTCCTATGCAAAACTTTGACCCCCCATTGTGGCCCCACCCTACCCTCAGGGGGTTATGATTTGAACAAACTTGAATTTACACTACCTGATGATGCTTCCATATAAATATGACCTATCATGGCTTTTTTGTTCTTACGAAGAAATTTTTAAAGATATTTTCCTATAGATTTCTAAGTAAAACTTTTATCCCCCATTGTGGCCCCATCCTACCCCTGGGGGTCATGATACACAGATAGTGTAGATTCAAGTTTGTTCAAATCATAACCTCCGGGAATAAGCTTGCACTGCAGTTAGTGATCAATTTAGATTTTACTTGGGATTATATCTAAAAAAAGAATCTGCTGATGAACATGAAGGGCCACAAATATGCAGGTGGGTGTTGTGGCCAATGAGCCCCTTTTTTTTACTTTGACCTTTGTTATGTAATAAGTATATGTGTTAACTGCAATCAAACTTTTACATCTGAAAGCAATATTTTTAGGAATAAAACACAGGATATTTGGTTAGAGAATATGAAGGCTTCAAGAGTATGACATAAAATCAGCTGTAAAGTAGCAAACTGGAGATAACAATGGCATTTATTCTGTGGATAATTTAATTGCTCCTTTTATAGTCATGCATTGTGCATGGACCCACAAATTTTTTTCCAGGGGAGGCACACCTACTAAAAATGCCTTTCAAAAAAATTGACTACCTAACTATACAAAGTTGGTAATTTTGAACACTCCGGGGGGGAGGGTGTTCTAGACTCCCCCTGGATCCATGCATGATTTATAACTTGTATTTTTTCATTAATTACTTGTACATATTGTATGAAAGGTTATCAATAGTTACTATAGGTGACATACAAGCTGATACATTAATATGTAAATCCTTCAGTTGAAATCAAAATGCCAGTTAGACTAAAGATGATACATGTATGTAGATGATTGGGTTTTTTTTCAGGATTGATGTGGAAGCCCGGATGCTTAGCTGTGCCACTGAGTTCATTTCCTGTGGATGTTGTGTGCTTGGTGCATTGCAATAAGGACATATAACCCATAGAATTCACTTGAATAATATGGAAAGAGATTGCTTTGGCAAAACTCATTTTATATATTTTAGAATAACTTTGTCAAAGATCAAGTTTGTTTGGATGACATTCTGATGCAACAACATATTTTTATGCATAAAATCTTGTTATTTACTTGAATGGTCAAAGGATCAAGACAGTTGATATGAGTTTGAATGAAGCACATTTACTTTGGTATTTGTTAAGTTAATTGGAATATTTTCACTTTGTATAATAGGTTGACAAATGTAGATTTTATTCTCAGTCAAGATTGATCTTTAAGTTTTACATCCAAACAATAAACTCTTTTGTTTTGGACAAAAAAATTATTTAAACATACAGACTGTATTCTGAAGACAAATGCAAAGAAACAATTATAGATTGTTAATTAAGGATAAATAACACAAACTTTTTTTCCCCAAAATTCAGATATCTTTGCTAAATTAGGTGCCTTTCTCACTTTGGAATTAATATTTGTATAGTTAAACAACTTAATGTTTGGCCAAGATACATTATTTGGCAAAAAGTGCAAAAATGCAACTTTACAGTTCAATATGTTTTTTTGATAAGTTTATAAAATGTATTCAGTTTTCTTGCTTCAAAGTTTCTGGGGACATTTTCAAGAGTCTATTTTTACATTCTACTAAATTAAAATTTATTAATTACATTTCCATTGAAAGAAATATTGAAAAAATACCAGTGTAACTCTTCTGTGTGGAAGATAAGAAAATTTGTTTGTGGTGTGTATCTTTATTAATGTCAGTTGCTCAAATTCAAAAGGTCTAGATTATAAAAATGAAAATAATGTGGGGCCTTGTATGTCTGTCCATTTTTTAAATTATACATGTTTAAGGCCATATAATATATATGATTCATATTTGGTCAGTATTTGAAAATTTATTTGGGGAATGAATGAGCATAAACATTTTACTAAAGTGCTAACAATTTTTCACATATTTTAATTTTAATATTGAATATACATGTACATGCTCAGTCTGATCTATGTTTCATGTATCTTTTCACAAAATTATGAACACTCCAAATAAATTAATGTTTTCACTCTATTCTTTTTCCATGCAGACATTTGTTAGGTCACCTGAGTCACTCAGGTGACCTTTTGCAATCTGTTTTTGTCCGTTGCCGTTCGTTGGTTGAAACTTTTGAACATTTTCAAATTCTTCTCTGGAACCGTTGAACCAATTTCATCAAATTCATCTTTGGACAAAGGGGGACAAAAATTGTGAATTTCATGATCCCCGCCCCCATTGGGCCTGAGGGGACCAAAACCATTAAAATTAATGCAATTTTCAAAAATCTTCTCTACTCCTAAACATCAAGCATTCAAATTGTTTTCGTGATTATAACATACTATGAGCCCTTTACCTTTGCCTCTTCCAAAATTGTGAATTTAATTTCCCCTGGCTCAGGGGTTCTAGTGTTAAGGTGGGGCTCTATTGATTGTATAGTAAAAATGCATTAATTCTGAAAATCTTCTTCTCTGCTCCTGGGTATTGTTTAAACAAACTAAGTGCATGGTTATGATAAGCAAAGATGCCTCTTCCTAAATTTTGAAATTCATGGCCCCAGGGTCGGGGGTTCTGGTGAAGGAGATGGGGGCTCTATTGATTATATAGTGAAAAAGCATGATTTCTTTGAAAATAGTTTATTTTGCTCCTGGTTATAAAGCAAAGAAAGCAAGTGTATAGTTATGATGAGCAAGAGTGCTTCTATCCAGAATTGTGAGTTTCATGCCCCCTGGGTAAGATATTCTGATGTAAGGGTGGGGTTTTATAAAACAGTGAAAATGCATTATTTATATTTAATAATCCCCTCTGCTTCTTGTGTTGAGCACAAAGGCTCAAAGAGCTAATGCTACGGGCATTTGTGGTTTGTGTGTAAACTTTAGAATATGGGCTATATCTCAAGAACCCCTTGGCCGATTTTTGTCAAATTTGTCAGAGTGTCCTTGACTGAAGGGCTCTCATTTAAACTAAAACAAGGAATGTGACCTTAAATAAGAGGAGATAACTTGGAAAATAAAACCAAAAGCTAAAAAATCTTCTCAAGAACCATTGGGCAGATTATCACCAAATTTACATACAAGAATAGGATATGTTGTAGATTAAAAGTTGCTCAAGGCATCACCCAGGGGCAAAGGGTGCGGTCTCGAGGTCACTTCAAAGTTGACCAAAAATTATGTTTTGTTTGATAAACTTTGATATTTTGCTAACTATAAGGATTAGGATAGTGAAATCTTGTCAATATTGATGCACCTTAGGACCTCATATCATGTTGACTCAAAAGTAGGTCAGTGACCTCCTTTTTAAATTTTGCAGGCATTCGTTTTCAAATTGATCATCAAACTTTGTCAGTTGATGCATCTTGGGTCCTAGTAGAACGTCAACTGAAAAGTAGGTCACCTTTACCTCCTTTTTTGAATTTTCCAAAACATTTAAGGTCATTATTTAAGGTACTGTGAGGATTAGAATCGCCAAACCTTGTAAGTTGATGCATCTTGGAACCTTAAAACACATTTATTAAAAAGTAGGTCACAGTGACCCACTTTTTGAATTTTGCAGACATTGGTTTTCAAATAGTTTCAGAGGCATATTTTGGACACTTCAGGACCTATTATCATCAAACTTTGTCAGTTGATGCATCATGGGTCTTATGAGAATGTGAACTGAAAAGTAGGTCACTGTGGCCTACTTTTGAAATTTTATGGCTGTATTTAAATATTTCAGGTATTAATTGGCTAAGAATCATCAAACTTTGTCAGTTGATGTATCTTTGGTCCTCAGACTAAGTGTGTCAAAGAATGAATCCTCATAACACTGCTTTCTCGCCCCTTTTAAATGCAGAATTTTACCTTTTCAAATCAGAACATTGTTATATTTTAGCTTAAGTCTTCAAGCATAGTCTGTAGAGATACTCATAAAAGATTTTTTGGGGAAAGAGACTTTCAATATATACATTATATCGATTAAATAAAATCGTATACTTCACTGTAAAATCCCGGTTTCGCCATTACAGCTAGGTAGGTCATTGTATTATTTGAATGAGAAGGCGGAGCGTCTCTCAAGCGTGCGATTAGTATGAATACATTAGCATGCGTTCGAAGTGTACTAAGTTTTATGATTAACTGACACCTAAAAAGTCTTTTTCATGCTAGAGACCGACAAAATATAAGCATACATTTTTAATTTGGCTGGCTTAACTTTGATTTCTTTTCTGCTTAACTTACGAGTCATATTTGAAATGATTTAATTACTAGAAAATCGTTAAATTATTTATATATTAAATACACAATGGAATTTGGAAACAGAACGTATAACGAAGGATATACTATTTTTCACACTTTAAAGAAGCCTTTTTTTTGAAAAAGAAATGATTAATCCGTTGAAGCTTATTACGTACATAATTAGAAATTGTTCATACATATATATATATAATTTTGCAAAATCCGAGTGCTACAACAAATACACGTAGGCGGTTGAATTATGATATAAAACTAAACTCGGTGTATAAAAAATAGATAGTTAAGACAGTGAAAATTTAAACGTTAATTAAACGTCAGTATAACGTCAGTATCATCGCTGGTGGATAAAGAAACATCCGTGTCAGTGTACTTTGTACAGTCCAAATTGCATTGCTTCAAAAAATCCTGTTTATTCACGCCAGACAAGTTAATATGATCTTCCTCAATTAGGAATTCATTAATTGTCGTAATCCACTCCTGTATTTTTTGATTTTAACAAACTCTCTCCCTGTAGTAAGATAAGTAATAAATCACTCCGAGGTATTTAACGCCCTTTTTCATTCGACTGATTTTTTTTTTTTTTTTACTAATATCTAGATCGGACATGTGAAAGGGTCATACAAATGCATGTTCTTGCTTTTAAACATTATGCTTTAAAAATACCTGCGAACATGGACTTTCTTTTACATGAACTAAAAAAAAAAAAAAAAAAAAAAAAAAAAAAAAAAAAATTGTAAAATTTTGTGGTGCCGATGTAAAAAGTTATAGCATTTGCTTCAGAAGAAACCTGAAGCTTCCTTCTATTCAAATTAGGGGTGCTTTTTGTGCAAATGTATTCATCCAGTGACTTTTCATCCGATACACAGGTTTTTTGAGCGCTCCGTACTTCAATTTCTTTCCCTGAAGGTTTCTTCTATTGGAAGTATGCATTTGTGCACTTGTAACAAAAATTTATTTTTCTAAAGATATGATGAATTGGTGTTTTTCAAATAACGGACTTTAAAATTAATGACAGTTTTAACTGAAAAAAATCTTTCATATCTTCCAAGGCAATGAACGGAGCACCGATGTATATTTAGGAACAAGGGCAAATGTATAATATATACCCACAGTAATTTAAATTTTAAAATTCTGGCCTGGAGGTTATAAAATTTTTTGAGTACATACTCCGTTCTCAAACTCATATTCCATTCTCCGATACCATAAACATACTCAAAATTTATATACAACTTAGAGTGGAATTTTGGAGCATGAGTATGGTTTTGGAGTACGGAGTATGAGTTTGAGCACGGAGTGCGTACTCAAAAAGAGTTTTATATCCTCCAAGCCTGTATTTATGAGACACAAGCAGTAAGTGCAAGCTATATGCTACAGGACTGCAATATAAATTGATATATAACCCCCCCCCCCCCAAAAAAAAAAATCAAACAAAATCGACTGAAAATATTAACTCATCTTAATCATAAAAAAGTTTTCTCCCAGAATTTTAATTACCCATTTGAAAAATGATTTGACCATCGATAGGTCGCAGACACTAGACACAATGTCGCTTAGATGTGCTCAAAGCGTGGAAGTGAATAGATTTGAGTCACGTGTTCAGTGCTTTGTTTTTCATGAGGTCAAAGACGGGTTGAAATTTGTAAATAAGGTGCCTTTACTATGGAGACAAGCACCAGTGATTTTGCACCTTTTAGGAAAATAACAAATGAGCGCAAGACTGTTTCAATTTCTTTCATGAATGTAAATGACTAGTGTAACTCTTTACATTGACCGTATTTACAACAACTTGAAACATCCATGCGCTCATATAAAAAATGGGCTTGCAAAACGGGGGTGTGGCCTACAGTCTATGTTTGTTTGTTTGTATGTTGTTTAACGTCCCTCTCGAAAATTTTTCACTCATATGGAGACGCCACCACTTGCCGGTGGAGAGCTGCAAATTTTGTCCTATACTCGGCACTTACGGCCATTGAGCAGTGAGGGATCTTTTTCGTGCCAGCACCTTCTGCGACACGGGACCTCGGTTTATACGGTCTCATCCGAAGGACCGGTCTCCACGTCCCGCAGTGGGATTCGAACCCGCGACGTAAGGATCAACTCCTTACTTCGCGACTCTAGAGCAGACGCTCTAACCACTGCGCCACGCGGGCTAAAGTCTATGAGAAATCGATGTAAACAACATACCCCTGCTATATTAATCACATAAATACCTAATTACAGCGCAAGGAAGTAAAAAATGAAATTGAAATTAATAAACTACAATGTTTGATGGAAAGATTGAGGCAAAAATGTTTAGAAAATCTTTAATTTTTTTGTAAATTATGGGGGGGGGGGGGCAAAATTGGACGTTTAAACGATTCATCCTTTAAAGTGGTCTCTGTGACCTACTTTTAGAATTTTATGGATATATTCAAATACTTAAACACTAATTGGCCTAGAATCGTCAGCCTTTGTCAGTTTATGCATTTTGGGTCCTTGAAGTATTATTAAGATAATAAAAGGTTTAGAATCATCGAACTTAGTCAGATTAGGAATCTTGGGTTATCAGAGTATTCTAACCAAAATGTAGGTCAAATTGACCTACTTTAGGGATTTCAAGGCTTCAACTAAATTATATAGGATACTAAGAGGCTTCAAATAGAAGTGATACATTGTACAATTTATCAGAAGATCCATTCAAGGTCCTTGGGGCTCTTGTTACATGTAGTTAACAACTCTGCATGGTTAACATCTGTCTTTTCTCAGAAAATACAACACAATATATATGCTTTAACTCTTTTTGCATTTCTTTAAAAATTCAGTTTCAGACTTTAATAACATATGCAAAGGTAAATAACAGCAACCCCCCCCCCCCCTTCACCGAAAAAGTAAAATGTTGTATTACAAGATGTAAAATGCATATTATCTATAACACAGACAAATAGTACTCTAATTTAATGCTTTCTTGTATCAAGGACCTTTAAAGATATTAAAAACAATACTAAAATGCAAGAATAAAAGTTTTTTTTATACTACACAGTATTTGTCTGAGAAACAAAACAACACTCTATACACATACACAATAAACAAAGAAACATGAGCCACATAGCTCAACTGAGTTACTTTGGTCCTGTTTTCTTCAGAATATTTTAAATCAAAAAAAAATTATTTCTTCATTCTTATGAAAACAATTAGCCCCTGTATAGTTTTTACACTTGGCCAAATGCATCATGATAAGTCTTGGCCCTACTGTTCTTGAAAAGAATATTGTTCAAGATTTTTTTCTTTATTCCCCAGCAAAACTTGGATCCCCCATTATGATTCCACCCTAAGGGTCAAGATTCAAGCGAAGTTAATTTTGCACTACCCTGAGGATGCTCGACTAATCAATTACTATGTAAAACTGACCTTCTATTTTAGTCCCAACATACCCCTTTGTGCTTTGATTTAATGATCAATTTAAAATCTATGCTACATCAAAAAACTTTAAATTCCTGTATATTTCCATGTTGAAGTTAGATCCCCATCTTGGACCTACACTACCCAGGGTTCTCCACATTTGAAAATTTAACCATGGAGGAAGCTGTGCGAAAGCAAAATGTGATTGAAAGCACGAACACGTGTAAGACTCTCTTAACTTCATTAATCAATGATCAATTGTAGCCTACCCATGGTCGCCACAATTTGAAAAATTTAGAATTCACACTATCCTTTGTCATAAACCTTTCATCTATTTGGCCAAGAGGTTCTTCCAAAGATTTTTAAATAATCCCTTCCCCCAACCCATTTTTGCCCTTCTTGATAATCTCCTCTTGGAAGGGGGAACCAGTGGTTCTCAAGAAGAAGTCTGAAATGATTACAGTTTATAGACAAACAGATGCTGCACAATGGATGATCAGAAAAGCTCTCTTGAGCTTACAGCTTAATCTGAGAAGATTAAATTCTATCATTTCTATGTAAAAATAATTCAGTGAAGATCTCTTTCTTTACACATCTCAACATCTGTGTAGGCCAAACAAAAAATACTCTCAATACATGAGCGGTGATTCTGCAACTGGTAGAGGTGTCATTTATTGCCAAGCTCTGAAAAAAAAATTAACTCACTTCAGTGCATATTTCAAAGTTTAGAGCAAGAATTGACTAAAAATATTTCAAAAACGTTTTCTCTTAAAATATTTTGGTCCCCATCTGATTTTAAACTTCAATTTAAACAAAATGTACAGACCTTTGAACTTGAAATTGGTAAACTATACCTGTTTAGCTCTTTTATGGGCGTCCTATCAAGACTGCCCTCTTCTGGATTCAGATGTTGGTATAAATTAGGTTTTAACCAATATTTGGAGTTGACCTTGACCTAAATGGTGCTTTTTGATCTTCGAATAAGAAGAAACAATACATGATTAGCAATATAAATAGAAACTTCTGTGATTATCATCTTGTAACTTTATATATAAATTAAAAAATTATGAAATTCAATGCAAGTTGTTAACTTCATTACAAACATTATTTGTTATATCTGCTAAGTTCACAATGTGATTTAAAGCCAAGGACAATGAAAATCAATTCGCTGTAAGCATCAATTCATTGTAAGCATGTTCACATTAACTGTGTTTTACTGTACTGACCTTTGGACTTGAAACTGGTGCTTTAATTCATCATCTTTTATCTTGCAAATCCAATACACAGAGTAGTTTCTTTCAAGCTGACATCAGTCTTGGCCTTTGGTCTTTGACCTTGACATTGGAAAACATATATATCTGTATAAGTAATTCCATTATGTATGATTGCTGGTTTCCTTTTTGTTAAAACAATTATAAATTTGAAATGCTTGTAAATGAAGTGTACCACTTTCGGCTGCACATTCCTAATTCTGCAAATGGTTATCCATACTCATAATCCCCAGTCAGCATGCGTCAATCTAAAATACTATTAATAATTAATACATTTGTAATATACATGCATAAGTCATATATATGTGTATCTGCAAATAATATAAAAGGATACATGTACATGTATATTTAAATTTTCAAGAAACTATATTTTTTTCAATACAAGAAATTGCACAAACATTGTTTGCTACTATAATTATTTTTTTAATTAATAGGAATACATTTATTAAAAGCATCTTTTCATAAAAAGACATAATTATAAAATTCAAGATTAATGTATTTGCCCAAAATTACATGAAGTAAAGGAAAACCTACCTACATATCTATCACCAGTCTTGGACAGTTTAATATGTTGATGGTTCAGTACACACAAATCACTAGCTGTTACTTGGTACTAAAAAGAAAAAAAAATGTATATATTAAATGATATGTTTAAATTTTAAATTGCAAAAATATAATGCAGTAAGTGTTGTAAATTATCCGTATATAGCAGGATGAAGCCCCCCTTCCAATTTAGCCCCAAAGTTCTATATATTTGAATGAGAGTAAACAAATTTCTTTGAAATGTATTGTAAAACAACTTGATTCTAAATGCAACTAAAATACCATATTTCTTTATGTTCGTAACTGCATAAAAAAATTAAAGAGCCGTTTATTTTAATTGTGTAACAAACGTGTCGATAGACAAATTCGAATTTCCTCGATGAAATCTGCTGAATGTCTTAGATTGTTGGAATATGCTGTTCATACGATTTATTCCAAATAACCATTGCGTAAAATAAATATTTAGAACAGCAAACTAAGCTATTCATAAAGATTTATAATGGAAAAATCACTGAACTTACCTTACTTGCCAGCTGAGATGAACGGGAAGGCTGGAAACCCAATACACATTTTAGCGGTTTTTCAGTGTTAGGGAAGCGCTTACATATTATCATACTAAAGCGAATCATGACTGTGCTTGGAAGTCATACATCCTGGCGCAATGCAATCATGACTTCAAATCTTGACTGCGTTTGAAGAAATACATCATTGACGCTTGAATAAATCATGACTGCGTTTGGAAGTCATACATCCTGGCGCAAGGCCAGGATTGACGCTTGAAGAAATCTTGGCTGCGTTTGAAGAAATACATCCTGACTTGGCCAGGATTGACGCTTGAAGAAATCTTGGCTGCGTTTGGAAGTAATATATCCTGGCGCAATGCAATCCTGGCCGACCAAGATAGGATGGGCATATGTTGTCAATCCTGACTTGGTCAACATTGAATCATGACCCGACCAAGATAGGATGACCATGTTATCAATCCTGACTTGGTCAAGATTAAATCATGACCTGGCCAAGATAGGATGGTCATGTTATCTTGACTTGGCCAGGATAGGATGGTCATGTTATCAATCCTGACTTGGTCAAGATGACCGGCCAAGATAAGATGGCCATGTTATCAATCCTGACTTGGCCAAGATAGCATGGCCATGTCATAAGTCTTGACTTGGCCAAGATATGATGGCCATGTTATATGATGACCACGACCAAGATAGGATGGCCATGTTATAAATCCTGACTTGGTCAAGATAGCATGGCCATGTTATAAATCTTGACTTGGCCAAGATAGGATGGCCACGTTATATGATGACCGGCCAAGATAGGATGGCCATGTTATCAATCCTGACTTGGCCAAGATAGCATGGCCATGTCATAAGTCTTGACTTGGCCAAGATATGATGGCCATGTTATATGATGACCACGACCAAGATAGGATGGCCATGTTATAAATCCTGACTTGGTCAAGATAGCATGGCCATGTTATAAATCTTGACTTGGCCAAGATAGGATGGCCACGTTATATGATGACCGGCCAAGATAGGATGGCCATGTTATCAATCCTGACTTGGCCAAGATAGCATGGCCATGTTATAAATCTTGACTTGGCCAAGATAGGTTGGTCATGTTATCAATCCTGACTTGGTTAAGATGATGAAAATCATGGCTTGGTCATGTTTGAAATCTTGACATGGTCATGATTACCATCCTGACCGGCCAGGATTGATTTACAATGAAATATATAGAACATGACATGGGGGTCCCCTATGGCTTTCCATAGATTTTCATCATCTTAACCAAGTCAGGATTGATAACATGACCAACTTATCTTGGCCAAGTCAAGATTTATAACATGGCCATGCTATCTTGGCCAAGTCAGGATTGATAGCATGGCCATTCTATCTTGGCCGGTCATCATATAACTTGGCCATCCTATCTTGGCCAAGTAAAGATTTAGATAACATGGCCATGCTATCTTAGCCAAGTCAGGATTGATAACATGGCCATCCTATCTTGGCCGTTCATCTTGACCAAGTCGGGATTGATAACATGACCATCCTATCGTGGCCAAGTCAAGATAACATGACCATCCTATCTTGGCCAGGTCATGATTTAATCTTGACCAAGTCAGGATTGATAACATGGTCATCCTATCTTGGCCGGTTCATGATTCAATGTTGACCAAGTCAGGATTGACAACATATGGCCATCCTATCTTGGTCGACCAGGATTGCATTCCGCCAGGATATATTACTTCCAAACGCAGGCAAGATTTCTTCAAGCGTCAATCCTGGCCTAGTCAGGATAACATTGCGCCAGGATGTATGACTTCCAAACGCAGTCATGATTTATTCAAGCGTCAATCCTGGCCAAGTCAGGATGTATTTCTTCAAACGCAGTCAAGATTGCATTGCGCCAGGATATGTGACTTCCAAACGCAGTCATGATTCGCTTTAGTATGATAATATGTAAGCGCTTCCCTAACACCGAAAAACCGCTAAAATGTGTATTGGGTTTCCAGCCTACCCGTTCGTCTCAGCTGACAAGTAAGGTAAGTTCAGGTGATTTTTCCCTTATAAATCTTTATGAATAGCTTAGTTTGCTGTTCTAAACATGTATTTTACGTAATGGTTCTTTGGAGTAAATCATATGAACAGCATTCCAACAATCGAAGACATTCTGCAGTTTTCATGGAGGAAATTCGAATTTGTCTATCGACACATTTGTTATACAATTAAAATAAATGGCTCTTTAATTTTCTATGCAGTTAAGAACATGAAGAAATATTTTATTTCATTTGCATTTAGAATCAAGTTGTTTTACAATACATTCAAAAGAAATTTGCTTACTTTCATTCAATTATAGAACTCTGGGGCTAAATTGGAAGGGGAGCTTCATCCTGCTCTATACAGATAAATTACAACACCTACTGCATTATATTTTTGCAATTTAAATTAAACGTATCATTTATGTACATTTTTTTTTCTTTTTAGTACCAAGTAACAGTAATTTGTGTGTACTGAACCATCAACATATTAAACTGCAGATCCATACCGACCTAGACTGGTGATAGATATGTATAGGTAGGTTTTCTTTTACTTCTTGTAATTTTGGGCAAATACATTAAACTTGAATTTTAATTATGTCTTTTTATGAAAAGATGCTTTTAATACATGTATTCATATTGATTTAAAAAAAAAGGTAATTAGTAGCAAACAATGTTTGTGCAACTTCTTGTATTGAAAAAAATATAGATTCTTGAAAATTTAATTATACATGTACATGTATCCTTTTATATTATTTGTAGATACACATATATATATATATATATATATGACTAATGCATGTATATTAAAAATGTATTAACTATTAATAGTATTTTAGATTGACGCATGCTCAGCTGACTGGGGACTATGAGTATGGAAAACCATTTTGCAGAATTAGGAATGTGCAGCTGAAAGTGGTACACTTCATTTACAAGCATTTCAAATTTATAATTGTCTATATATACTTTCTGTTTGTTTTAACAAAAAGGAAACCAAAAATCATACATAATGGAATTACTTATACAGATATATTTTATGTTTTCCAATGTCAAGGTCAAAGATCAAAGGCCAAGACTTTTGTCAGCTTGAAAGAAACCACTTTGTGTATTGGATTTGCGAGATAAAAGATGATGAATTAATGCACCAGTTTCAAGTCCAAAGGTCAGTACAGTAAAACACGGTTAATGTGAACATGCTTACAATGAATTGATGCTTATAGTGAATTGATTTTCATTGCCCTTGGCTTTAAATCACATTGTGAACTTAGCAGATATAACAAATAATGTTTGTAATGAAGTTATCAACTTGCATTGAATTTCATAATTTTTTAATTTACATATATAAAGTAACAAGATGATAATCATACAAGTTTCTATTTGTATTGCTAATCATGTATTGTTTCTTCTTATTCGAAGATCGAAAAGCACCATTTAGGTCAAGGTCAACTCCAAATATTGGTTAAAACCTAATCTGTACCAACAACTGAATCCAGAGGAGGGCAGTCTTGATAGGACACCCATAAAAGAGCTAAACAGGTATAGTTGACCAATTTCAAGTTCAAAGGTTTGTACATATATTATGCCCCCCTTTGAAGAAGGGGGAGTATATTGCTTTGCTGCTGTCTTTTGGTCGGTCGGTCAATCTGTCTGTCTGGCGGTCCACCATCAGTTTCCGTTCATTTTCTTTGCAGAGGTTGCACATACTGAAATGAAATTTGGTATACAGATTTATCATATGAATATCTAAGTCAGGTTTTGTTTTGGGTACGATCGAGCAATTGTTCACAGAGTTATGCCCCTTGGACTTAGCTTTCTGTTCATTATCTCTGCAAAGGTTGAACAAATAAATTACTGATATATCATAAGAAACATGTTTTTGCCAAAGATGTGATGTAGAAGACTATTTCTCTTTGATGCATCTCAGATAGTACCGGTAGATGACCCCTATTGATTTTAAGTTCAAAAGGTCAATTTCATTTCCATGTACACTGCCCATAATGTATACTGCCCATAATAAAGGCTTGTGCACCCTGTAGCATAATGTATGTCCAGGGGGGGGGGGGGGGTCATAAGAGTTTCACAAACATCTCTTGTTTAGATTTAGGTATAAGGGGCCTGTTTTAAAAAACAACTAAAGACTAAGACCAGAGACATACAAGCAAAACACAGCGATTCACAACTCAGCCATTATTAACTCACCTGAGCCAAAGGCTCAAGTGAACTTTTCTGATCAATATTTTTCCATGGTCTGTCGTTGTCATCTATAACTTTTTTTTTTCCAAATTCCTCCCCTTCCCAACAATCACTGGACCAATTTAAATTAAATTTGGTACAGAGTGTGACTGGGTGAAGTAAATTAAAGTTTGATCAAATAAAGGGTTACACAAATTCATCCAAGGGGAGATAATTAAGAAAAAGTAAAAAAATGGGTGAGGTCCAAGGATGTGCAATTACCATCACCCGACGCCTGGGGCTACCAATTTTAGAGGTCGGGCTATCATAAATCTATACTGCGTTAGCCCGTCGGGCTGGTAAATCTAAAACGAAAGTATACGTATATTTACATTGACTGAATTAATGTACGAATTAATTTTGTTGTAAAATCGTAATCTTTAATTCGTTTTAACCTATATGTATTGTGTGTTGCTATCGCTAGTCGTCTCAGTGACAATTATAGTCGATAAAAAATACAGAGAAGTACCTGACAATAACAAAGGGCAAACCATTATTTTTTTTTATTCAACTTAAATGTTTTTTAAAACCTTTTTGATATACATTTATTGTTTGTGGTAGTTAATGGGCTAGTGACTGGCAACCTCGGGCTAGTAACTTTGTTACTGCCACTTGCCCGACGGGCTAGTAACTAATTTTTGTAATTGCACACCCCTGAGGTCATTTAAAAATCTTTTCAAGAACCACTGGACCAGAAAAAAATGAAAATTACATGAAAGCTTCTAAACATAATGTAGATTCAAATTTGTTCAAATCATGACTCCCAGGTTAGGGTGTGACCACTATGGCCAATGAAAGTTATATATATATATATATATATATATATATATATATATATATATATATATATATATATATATATATATATATATATATATATATATATATATATATATATATATATATATACATATATATATATATATATATATATAAAATCTTTATAAATCTTCTTCTGAAGAACTGTAAAGCCATGATCAGACATATTTATTTGGAAGCATCCTCTGATAGTGTAGATTCAAGTTTGTTCAAATCTTAACCTCCGGGAATAGGCTTGGACTGCAGGTAGTGATCAATTTAGATTTTACATGGGATTATATCTTAAAAAGAATCTGCTGATGAACATGAAGGGCCACAAATATGCAGGGGGCATTGTGACCAATGAACCTTTTTTTTTTACTTTGACCTTTGTTATGTAATAAGTATATATATTAACTGCAATCAAACTTATACATCTGAAAGCAATATTTTTTGGAATAAAAGACAGGATATTTGCTAAGAGAATGTGAAGGCTTCAAGAGTATAAAATAAAATCAGCTATAAAGTAGCAAGCTGGAGATAACAATGGTATTTATTCTATGAATAATTTTTTTGCTTCATTTACATGCATTATGCATGGATCCAGAAATTTTTTCCAGGGGAGGCACACCTACTAAAAAAGCCTCTCAAAAAAAATTGACTATCTAACTATACAAAGTTGATAAATTTGAACACTCCAGGGGAGGAGGGGGGTGTTCTAAACTCCCCTGGATCCATGCATGATTTATGACTTGTATTTTTTCATTAATTACTTGTACATATTGTATGAAAAGTATTAATGTAGTTACTATATAGGAAGATGACATACAAGCTGATACAAATATATAAATCCTTCATTTGAATTCAAAATGTTAGTTAGACTAAAGATGATAGATGATTGGGTTTTTTTTTTAGGATTCATGTGGAAGCCCGGATGCTTAGCTGTGCCACTGATTTCATTTCCTGTGGATGTGTGCTTGGTGCAATGCAATAAGGACATATAACCCATAGAATTCACATGAATAATATGAAAAGAGATTGTTTTGGCAAAACTCATTTTATATATTTTAGAATAACTTCGTCAAAGATCAAGTTTGTTTGGATGACATTTTGATGCAATAACATTTTTTTATGCATAAAATCTTGTTATTTACTATAATGGTCAAAGGATCAAGACACTTGATATGGGTTTTCATGAAGCACACTTACTTTGGTATTGTTAAGTTAATTGGAATATTTTCACTTTGTATAATAGGTTGACAATTGTAGATTTCATTCTCAGTCAAGATTGATCTTTATGTTTTACATCCAAACAATAAACTCTTTTGTTTTGGACAAAAATTTATTTAAACATGAAGACTATATTCTGAAGACACACACAAAGAAACAATTATAGGTTATTAAGGATAAACAACACAAACTTTTTTTCCCAAAATTCAGATGTCTTTGCTAAATTAGGTGCCTTTCTCACTTTGGAATTAATATTTGTATAGTTAAACAACTTAATTTTTGGCCAAGGTACATTATTTGGCAAAAAGTGCAAAACTGCAACTTTACAGTTCAATATGTTTTTTGAAAAGTTTATAAAATGTATTCAGTTTTCTTGCTTCAAAGTTTCTGGGGAAATTTTCAAGAGTCTATTTTTACATTCTACTAAATTTAAATTTATTAATTATATTTCCATTAAAAGAAATATTGAAACAATACCAGTGTTACTCTTCTGTGTGGAAGATAAGAAAATTTGTTTGTGGTATATATCTTTATGAATGTCAGTTGCTCAAACTCAAAAGGTCTAGATTACAATAATGAAAATAATGTGGGGCCTTGTATGTCTGTCCATTTTTTTTTTTTATTATACAAGTTTAAGGCCATCTAATATATATGATTCATATCTGGCCAGTTTTTGAAAATTTATTGGGGGAATGAATGAGCATAAACATTTTTGATCACATTTGTGAGTTTCATGCTTCCTGGGTAAGATGTTCTGATGTAAGGTTGGGTTCTATAATATAGTGAAAATGCATTAATTATATTAAATAATCCCCTCTGCTTCTTAGTGTTGAGCACAAAGGCTCAAAGTGCTAATGCTATTGCCATTTGTGCAGTGTGTGTAAACTTTTTAGAATATGGGCTATATCTCAAGAACCCCTTGGCCGATTTTTGTCAAAAAACGGGGTACATTACGTATAACAAGGCGGCTCTGTCTCCAAATTTGATTCCAATGGATCCGCTTTACTGCATGATTCATGTCAAATGCACTAACCAAGAATAATCCCCAATATGGTTGCACACATTCACTTTCTATGTAAAACCACAAGGGGAGACCGGTTACAAGATGTTACTTGCGGATTCCTGATTGATGGGGCGATTCCAAGTTTTTCCTTTGTTTAGCGTCCACCCAAAATTCGAAAACCTGTCTTCCTAAGGCACGTAGCAACGTGGGGGGGGGGGGGGTTGATGGCCCCCACTACTTTTTTTGCAACCATAAATTTTTACTATTGAAAATGTTCATTGAAAGGCCAGCCCCCCCCCCCTTTTATTAGAGTAAAGTCAAAAAGGGTAACATAGTAGTGTAAGAATAAGATTTGGTACTGAAAGAAGTTTGAAACCTAACACCCACCCCCACCCCTCCACCCCCAACCCGGAAAACCGGATTTTTTTTTTTTTTTTTTTTTTTTTTTTTTTTTTTAGCTTGTCAATTTTTTTCCAGGAAAGTTGAAACGGGAAAAACACAACATTTTGAGAACAATTCTAGAATTTCTTATTATCATTTGGGACCTCTCCTCGCAATAAAACTAAGTTTTAAACTTCTACTTTATTGAAATAAAAAATTAATATACCACTTAAAAAAGAGAGATGTCAATCCCAAAAGAGTAAAATGCATCTCAGAGATTTGTATTTGTTGATTTTAATTTGAGTTAACTTGTGTTTTGTTTCAAAGCTTTGTATTATTTGTCAGTTTTAATTTGCGTTTGTTTTTAATTTCATAATCTCAAAAACCAATCCGACCGCATAAACGCTGAACATAGAAAAAAAAAACTTGAAA